AGAGAGAGAGAGAGAGAGAGAGAGAGAGAGAGAGAGAGAGAGAGAGAGAGAGAGAGAGAGAGAGAGAGAGAAAGAGAGGGAGAGAGAGATGGAGAACATTCTGGGAAGATGGACCACCCAGAGGAAAACATGGGCATTGAGGAGTATATGGATGAATTCGATGAAGCAAACAAGAGATGCTATAGTCAAACTGGAGAAGATGTCAACCTGGTCGTTGGATGGTGGGGTTAACGGGTTGATAGCTCGACAACAACGTTGTTCTTCCCGACTTTGCTAGGCTTTGGAGTGTCCACGAGGTGTTGTTAGGCTTTGCTGTTAACCTTGGGAGCACATGTGACGACCAAACCTCACGCCCTATGCTATCTTTCGTTCGGAGTGCTAAAGGTACAGAATGAAGGCCCAGAAAGACAGCAAGATGAGATGTGCCAAGGATTTTTGGAAAATTGAGTGTGGGGACACAGACAAAACTGAAATCCCCCGTGTTGGCCCGATGAAGTAAGTCGGTTGCTTTCGCGCGTCGCGAAATGCACGCGCGGGCACAGCGCGAAAAGAGAAAAATCCAATTTCAATCCAAAAAGTATTGTCGAGCTTCCCACCGCGCTACGGATCTTCGTTTAGAGCGGAAGGGTTTCGGTACACTCCACGTATCCCGTTTCCGTATTAATTCCCGACGTCGTTCGCTAGTCAATTCCGAGTCCGACGTGGATGGTCTCGGCCGCGTGGCTCTTTCCTTGTGCTCGTCTTCAATCCAAATCCGGTAGTGCAAGCCCTTCGATTCGTAGCGATCGAAGCGTTGGCACTCCGTGCACAGGGTTCGAGGCCAATGGGGCGCCTTTGCCGTCCACGGAATGACGATCAACTCGTTAAATGGCAACAATACTGAGTAAGGTGGAAAGTGCGTATCGATAATGACAAAGCCCGCATCCACGAACCCGGAACAACGATTTTCAGGAGGGAAGTAGTATTGTCCGCCGATGCGTGCGACAACTTCCCGTACGTCCCACTCGCATACACGTGTCCTTTCCTCGTTGTAGGGGAAGGGGCGTGTCGGCGAGGGAGATACGGAAGGTTGGCGCTCGATCGAGGGACGGCCGTTAGTCCACATATCAATCAATCAGACGGAGTTTACACAAATCCTCGAGACGTCATAAAAAAAAAACAAAAAAACTAATTAGTACCTTCCTTCCTTTAGACACGAGATAAGCAGCTTACGGAACCCGCACAATCATGCATTAATCGGGTTGGAGTTCCGAGGGATCAACCCGCGACTCAGTTTCGGCATAACAAAACACGAGGCGCCTAGCTTTTTCAAGGCTGCCCCACAGACTATCTGCTGATGTCGTGCAGCATAAGGCAGATGGCATGCGCAGTGCGTTTGAAACGACAGATCTAAACACTCTTGCATTCTCGAACAAAATCCCGTTGAGCTCTGGGTCTAATCAATGCAAAAATACAAGCATCTCTATACATACATCCACTATGGAAGGTGCGAAAATGACAATAATGCATATGTCAAAGATGAATCGGGGGACTGTACACACGCATCCACCGTTCACAAGACAAGGTGATTGAGTTCCTTGTATCCGAGGATTACCCAGGAAACTAATGGAAGAGTTCCGGAAGAAGTTCCTCTTCGCGGGGAATCACAAGGGTTTACTTTGATTAATGAGAGAGATTACCCAGGATTACCCAGGATTAATGAGAGAGATTACCCGGAAGAAGTTCCTTGTATCCGAGGATTACCCAGGAGACACCGGAATTCAACAAGGGAACATTCGGCCTTACAGTCGTGAACTCACACAAAAAATGATCCGCAACAATGAAGGCGCATTCGCCTTGAGATTCCAATATGGCCCCGGGCCAATCATCCAATCAACTCCGACTACTGATCCTCATACCCGCACCGACGATCCCGGCCGTCGCGTGCTAACTTCCGCCACTGCGATCGTCACCCCGCCGATGCAGACTCAACTCGGCTCGCCCAGATTCCACAGTCCGTCGTGGCAATCAAGCGCGCAACCGACCAGCCTATTGTCAGCCCGACAGGACTTTCCGACTCGCACCAAACACCTCACCTAGCCATTGCTTCCCGGAAGCTGGTTTGGGAGTTGAGAACGTAAGAGAGCTTTGCGGGCGCGTTTGCGGAATTTATAGTTGCGAGARAGGAGATAGATGGGGGAAGAGTCAGAGGGGAGATCGAGGTGTAAGGAGAGAAGGTTTAGCGAAAGGTGCTCAGGGGAAGCCATGTTGATCCTTCAGAACCCAATGGTCGGCCAATCAGATTCGTCGCGCAATAGGAAGATCCTCTTACTCAACGTGTCTGATTGGTGAGCCGGGGTAATCGGAGGATCAACCGGGCTTCGAGAGCCGAGTTTGAAGAGCGAGAAGAGACGAGGCGCCAAAAGCAGCGCGAGACGGGTCCAAGATTCATACAATCAAGAAAGGGAAACAGGCGCGCAAAAAGCAGAGAGGGAGAGAGAGGGAAAAAACAGTTGCGATAGGAGAAGAAGAGAAGGGGGAAGGGAAAGAGAAGAGAGCGCGGGGGAAAAAGGACGCGGGAAATAAGGAGGAGGAAGCTCGCATGCGCTGTGCCGACAACAAGAGAAAAAGGCACCAAAACAGTTACAGCTTGCCTATGCCCAAAACCAATTCAAAAATTGAAATCACCATATCCGCGCGCGAAAGTCGACACGGGAAAAGAAAGTCCTATGCCTATCCGTATTCTCTCAAAATTCCTAAAGCTTTCTCCGACGTGACCGAAAACATTCATGCAAGGAAAAAGATACGTCGGGCTCCGCTTATTCCGTAATTCCTAACTGTCGAGCCTGATTCCCCGTGCGCTCGCTGAGGCACGCGTAATTTTCCGTGCATTTCCCGATTTTCAAAATGCAAAATTCCAAGAATCAATAGAACTTCCGAAAAAAATGGGGGCCCAAACAAAGCGCCTGAAATCAAGAAAAGCGACGAGGGTCTTGTGGGGTCGGTATGATACAAAGAGGGGGTGTTGAGTCAAGGGGTATGAAAGATAGCACGGGGTCGGGAAATGGTTCGTCACATATGTGACGCGCAGGGGGTTCCAAAATTATGCGATCTCCTGATTGCATGAAAGCTCGAACAAAGGGAATAGGATTAGACGAAGGAGCAGGAAGAAGTACAAGGAACGAGGGGGTTGGGAGGAAACGAAGAAGCAGGAAGAAGTAGGAGCTCGGATCAGCACGATGAGATGGCGACAACATCCGTGGCAAGATCTCCGTGAAGCATGCCGACTCGTGCTGTTTCGGATCTTGTTCCCTGCAGTCTTGTCATATGCAACCCCCTATCCTTCGAATTTCGGAGATCGTCCAGGTGGCACCATCATGGTCCATCAGATCTCCGTGTGCTCTACACCCCCAGCCCAGTGCGGCCCATCGAATCAGAGCATAAGTTGACATCATCGTCAATGGCGTGATCTTCGCGAAACTGCTGATTCGTATTGCTTGGACGACACGTGGCGGGTATCAACGTCGTGTGGGGATGGGGAAGTAGACATTATACATGGGGGGATGTCGACGGGGAGGGTTGGGGGGAAGTGGGGGTAAGTATCGGTTCATCCCTTCCTCCGTGATCGCGAGCTCCTCGTAGCGGATGATCCGGTGAAAGCGGGGAAACCGATCGCCGTTGTGAGGGAGGGAGGCGAGGTAGTCAGGGTAAAGGGTGGAGAAAGTGCGGAAGAGTGCCGCGCGAAACAACTCGTGATGGCGACACGCTGGGATGGTTCCTATGATTACGCAGTAGACTTCTACTGCGTTACTCTGTTCCCACGGGGCACTAAACAGAAGAATGTGTAAACAGAACGTGGGGTTTGCGGCTTGAAGGGAAGGGTGGGGATGGACGGTGACGGCGAGACGGGTGGAGTAAAAGTGACGGAAGGTATTGGGAGGAAAGGGGTTGCGAGGGAAGGTGACAGGGGTAGAGATCTAGGAGAAGGTAAGGTAATCAAGGGGACGGCGGGATAATGACCGGGGACGAAGGCCGATTCCCCGCATCGGTACATGGACAAACTGGGGGACGGGTTGGGGTGGAGGGGGAGGGGGATTGGCTCCGTATGCGCTCGGAGCCGCGGTTGCTGATCTGCCATCTTCGGTCTCGGGGGGCTCCAGATCCCTGGTTGGGTCGTCGTTGATACACAGGCTCGCCCCGCTGGCAATCTCCAGCTGGCTTTTCCCGGCAGCGATCTCTTCTCTTCTACGGGCCGCTTCGGGATCTTCCGCCTCCGTGCCTGTTCGCGCCGCTTCTTCCGGTAAGTCCTCCCACTCCGATCCGGCTTCCTCCTCCTCCTCTTCTTCTTCTTCTTCTTCTTCTTCTTCTTCTTCTTCTTCTTCTTCTTCTTCTTCTTCTTCTTCTTCTTCTTCTTCTGCCTCCTCCTCTTCTTCACTCTGCTCCCCTTCGCTGTACTCATTGTAACTTCCCTCCTCCGACGTTTCCTCGTCGGTGTCGCCCTCTTCTTTAGTGGCTTCCTCTTCTCCTTCAAGCGCCTCCTCAGGCTCTTCATTTGGATAGAAGGCGCGATCGATGATTCCGTACGGCTTCAAGTATGTCTGTCGCGATGGCAAAGTGCTGTCACTCCCGGGTTCTTCCAAGCACGCAGTCCACTGAAGATACGGCGCCAATGTCCGCGTGATGACGTGAGGAGCGGGGTTGTCGTCGCTTTGTGAAACGATATCGAGGGAGAGATCGTCAGCCAGTTGCACGAGCGGAACGACGAGTTCTTGAGTAATCGGTTGGCGATGGTCCGGCCGTACCGATCCGAAGAGAAAACCGAGGAGATCACCTTCCACGTCCGTTCTCCGAGCCTGCAGGATCAACAGCTCCAGGTACTCGATACACGCAGGATGCTCACTAGTCCGCGTCCACATCACCTGCACCCAGGCCAAGCACACAGACGAATCGACAAAGGTTTCGCACCACACCTGCCAATGCCCGGGATCAAGAAGCGGGACGGCAAGAGGCTCGAACAGGAAAGAAAGGCGAGGATGGAGATCGGATTGTCAAAAGGTGGGAAAAAGAGAGGGGAGACCAAAGGTGGAGAGAGGAGCGAGAGGAGCGGCACGGTTCATTGGGGGCGTTGGAAGGGGATGAGGGTGGGGAGCACGACTGCCGGCTGGCGCAGAGAGGTGCGAATTCCGTTGAAATCAGTCTCGAATGTCGGGATCAGATTGTTCCCTGGACGCGCAAGACCGTGATGCCACTCAACTGACAACTGATGCGTCCACTCTCGTAGAGAGGTCAAGAAAGAGGTATGCCGTAGTGGGTTGACCGTGCTGATGTCGCCGCTGAAGGCAGCGACCGTGGTGACGTGGCTTGTCCCTGGAGCCGCTCGTCGATGAAGAGCCACCACTTCCTCTAATATCACTGCCCGCTGACTCCTGGCGAATCGGAACGCAGCAGCGGCACACACTCCCTGGGTGCAGAAGAACTGCGCCACTCTTCGAAGATCAGGACTGAGCCGCGGATGACGAACTTATCGGATCTCAGAGATGTAGCCACGTGGCTGCAACAGATGATCGCCAAGAGCTTGCTTCGAGATGAAACTCATGGCGAGGACGGGGAAGAAGATGAAAGAGGGGAGCAGGAGGGAGAGAGCGAAGCGGGAACTAGATCGTCGTCGCCCTCTTCTTCGTCAGATGAGGGAGATGGAGGGAGATCAGAGGGAGGAAGAGGACGGATATAAGAGGTATGGCGGACAATGGGGACAGAGCTATGGCGGGCGCTGGCCTCGGGCGCGATGCGCACCGTTGTCGGACGAAATACCCTTACAAGGGTATTTGGGCATGCTTTTGCATTTGACACGGTGACGGCGTCGACTACCATGATGGAACCGATCTGAGATGAAATGGGTGTGCACGATTTGGCGTGACACGTGAAACAATTTCCTCGGCCATTGAGGCCGAGGCGAATCAGTGAGAAAATTTCGAGAGTCTGTGCGAGCGTTGTCTTGACGCGCACTGTGATGGTTAGGATTAGTAGCAATACCCTCGGACGGAAAAAGGTCGAGGGGTTGATTGGGTCAGTATCGTGTCAGGTAGGCCTATGATACACGCTGAGACTTGGGCTGGTCCCTGTCTACCTACTAGATATTGAGCGTCTAAAAATGCTAACTTTTGTCTTCTCCTACTCGGCCTCCGAGTCGGGTACTCAGCACATCTACCATTACTTAGTATGGCACTGACCTACCTGCCACTTGAGTGTTTTCCCCGCC